GCTGTTACGAGCTGCCAGATGTATAGCTCAACTTTGTGTATCAGATCAACCATGGTATTCAAACACTGCATAAAGCCCAAATCTAAGGATAAATAATTGAAATTCTCACAAACGGACTTCTCATGACTTTACAAGATGCTGCATTTGTTTTCAGAACAACATGCATTTCGGGAAAGTGCATAATCACATGGAAACATGTGAAGAAGGAAACTCCGTTTCCTTCTTCTCCATTTTTTGTAGTGTACAGTGAAAAATATATAGAATCCCTTATTCGGTCTACCTTCCTAATGAACCATAAATAACTTATAACTCCATACCAACTGCAAAAAGTCAAAAATCAAAGACCTTCATGTAGACAGAAAACGTTTACGCACTACTCTAATTCTGTTTCATACTCATTACTTACACTTTTAGAAGTCTAGCTGCTTGTAACTAAATCAAGAACAATGTAGGCAGTTTCCGTTCAGTAATTTCATTATCCAACAATATATAACAGATTCAGTAATCAAGGTAAGTTAATAGAATTTAACGACAAAAAGTAAACGAAAAACAGATGCTCAGATGTATTTCTTAACCGACTTCCCATGAATAACAATGAACTGCAAACATTGCAAGGTTTTCAGTCAACGATGAATAATGCAAGAATTAAATATGAAATTTTCATCAAAAATACGACCTTCAGTTGGATAACAAGTGGAAATTGTTTTCAATTTCGTCGACCTCGTCGAACTTCCTTAGCTCTTGGAGGTAAGATAATGCCATCGTACTGAAAAATATGCATCATAGAACTTTCGAATAACTTCGTTAATTAAGAGCTTGCAATAAAATCGAATATGTGCGAATGATAGAAAACAGTATGAAAATGAGATGTGGTCGGTAAATTACAACGACTGAGGCACGTTTTAGCAAAAAAATTGCGCAAGCTTTATTCCACACATTATACTTTTCTTCGATGAATGTACCTTTTGCTGGAACCATTTTACTGCTTCCTCTTTCCCTACGCGATGCAAATGTCCAACATGACCACGTGCACGTCTACGCTTTGCAACTCGATGACCGGCACGTCCCAGGACAACATAAAAATCCATTCCATAAATCCCGATTGAAGGGTCATATTTGATACCCAGATCGATATGCTCTTGAATACCGAAACCAAAATTACCAGTATTTGAGAAATTTTCTCGGTACAATTCGTACTCCTTCACCTGCAAATGCAAAATATTGTACTGTTTTTAATGACAGAATGAAAATCTGTAAGAATGGTTTTGAAAAAAATTCCAACCAGCAACAGCAAAATGAAATGTGAGGATAAGATTTTTGAGCCAAGAAAAATTAAAAAATATATAGACCTTTAGTCCTCGCTCAATAATTTCTTCCGCTTTAGGACCTCTTACAGTACAGTGTACAGCAATTTTCTCGTTTCGACGAATACCAAATGAACGAACTGTATAGCGAGCTTTTGAAAATACTGGAGTCTGACCAGTTAATTGTTCAAGTACCTTAAATTACATTAATCTCCCAATATTATATTTTCATTCAATATATTTTAGTAACGAGTAGTTCATTAGAACTCTTCACATGGTATACTAAGTAGGGTAAAAAAGATACATCGAAAATATGCAGAGGGAATTATATTTATTTTAAAAATGCAAAGCAATACAAATTCTGTGACTCAAAACAAATCATTATTTCTTCTTCTTACACTAGCAATTTAAGTAAAGTACCTCAGCATGTAAACGCCCATTTTGTTTTAGCAACTGCGAAAAACAAATCCTAAAGCATGGAATTCTGCAACTACTAGAATTTATAAAAAAATACCTTTGCAGCACGGGTAAGCCTATCTCCTGATTCCCCAACGCAAATATTTAAACATAATTTTTCAATTTTTAACTCCCTCATCGGATTTGCAGCCTTCCTCTCCCTAACATCTGCAAGCTTTTCAGCCAAACCCATTTTAACCTAAAAATCAAAATACAAGCACACAAATAATTTAATATAGTAATTCTGTGCAATGTTTGTTCAAATTATGATTGATAGAGCTTATTTTCACAATATGTTTTAAAAATATACAAAACATGAAGTGATAAAAGAACACATTTCTGTACATTTGCTATTATTAGACAAAACAGCACCTGCTAAATCATACAAAATAACGAATTCCGCAAGCTGATAATCAATCTTGAAAATATTAAACAATACAGATAATATTCACTTCATGCCCTACAGCATACTAATTGAAGCCAGTTCTTGCTATATATTTTGCCGTGAGGCCTTTTCTTATTAACTTCACAAGTGAATTAAAATAAGTACTGCTTCTGTAAAAAACCAAAGCTACGTAACTTAAAATTGCGTGGTGCCACCTTACTGCTTTGAATTTATCTGTCACACATGAAAAAGTTGAGAACTCAGACCACACATCTGCATAACTGAGGAACAAGAAAATACAGTGACAGTAAACACAAAAAATACCCTCAAAAGTTGTATCCTTGCAATTTTGGAGTCAACCTTGTTCCTATACGAAATCAAAAGTATTGCGGTCGACTGCTTTTAACGCTACCCCATTTCGATCGATTAGGGTGCGAAATCTATATCGTTGCATAGAATGAGGTGGCATGTGGAAAAGCTATGAAGTGTTAGTATTGCCATTCTAATTCTGCAGTTAATTCAAACTAGCATCTAAACACGCTTCTAGCTTCTAATATGATTTCAGTTTTCTGAATACTAACGCTGAAGTTTTTGTAGTTATGTGATCCGCATGCTTCGAAATTGCCTTTGTGTATATTCTGGTCTCTGCACTGAGAATGACATTTTGAATTTCATGATATGCATAAAAATTATATACATAAATATGCAACTCTGCATCTCTTCTTTATTTTAGATGAATCCGTTATTTTATCAGAGATTCATTTCATTTCAAGAATAGAATACCATGCATTACTTCTGAAGGTTTGATAAATAGTAGAGTTAGCTTCTAAAAATGCAAACTAGAAACAAAGTATAGCATCCTAACTGAAATGAACTAAACACTTGTTCCTGTTTTCGTAAAATTCATTTATATTGGGACATGCCGTTTTTTTGCTTCTCTATTTTACTTTGGCTAGAATTTAAGCTTTCTTTAATACTGTTGTGCTAGTATTGCTATTTATGCTTGTGCTACTGTACCAGTTTTATCACATGAAATGAGCTAATTTATTCATTTAAGATTATTTATTTATCAGCTGCTTAATTCGTTAATTATGCATCAATTTATTAGTTATAAGCTGAGAACGTAATGAAATTTGCTTTATTATTCGTTTTCATTCTCACATTATATTGTATTAATCTTAAATATATACTTGTATTTTAGAAATATTATTGGTTCTTTGTTTTTTTTATAGCTTCATTTCAACTCTGAAGAATTTTTTTTGAAATTTGAATGTCAGTAGTTGTTATTACTTTTATTAAAAATAAACTTACCGTTTTATTCTGCTCATTATCTACAATGAATGCAAATATATGTTATATATGATAGATATGGTTTATGCTTTATGAATTCATTACATTTATTCTAGCGAGACAAGTAATGTAACGGCATCACTTGTTGAATGTTGAGATTATATATAACTCAATAGATATTATTTATCATTTGAGGCTATGATACCACAGGTTATTGAAAAAGTTTTCATGCAAGCAGTTAATGGAGAGATCACAGATGAAGAAGCTGCAGATCAGATTGCGGATTCATTTCATTCTGATATTTCTTCTAATAACTCTACGGTAATCGTTTTTTTTTTGTCTCATGTATGCGATAAGTTTTTTTTTTTTTTCAAATTTTCGGTCAGTGTGTTTTTATAATTATGATTGATGTGATCTAAATATTTATTCATCGTAATACAAAATTCACAATCGTAAAGAGCATATATTTGAATTCGCGGTAAATTTTTTTCTTTCAGCTGATAAATCAGTACATTAGCTCGTTCCACTTATCATTTCACTTATTTTCTGTAAATTTATATGCACTTAAAAATACACTTAGTCTTTATTTGTTTACCAACTGCTTAATTTCTTAATTGTCCATTAATTTATTAGCACTAGATATGATAGTGCATCCATACATTTGTATGATATTCCAGGCATGTGTCACTGCAGAACAAAATGGTGTCAATGATAGTAAAATGTATGATATCATTACATGTTTTCAGTTAACAAAAAAACTCTATACTACTACTTTTTACGAGTTCGAGTAAACGCTCCTGCATTGCATTGTTTTGCAAAATCTCTTTTCTGATTATGAGTATTTATGTGATCAAATTTCTGAAAATTTCTTGGGCTCAGTTAGTCAACATTTTGTATATTTATTAATATAATTAAGATTTTTCAATCAGTTTTACAAATAATCATTAGGATGTGTCTATCAAAGGTTTGGTAAAGAAGGTGTTGTAGCACGAAAAATATTAAGCTTTATTTTTTAAACTATTGTAAATGCATAAGAGGAAAATTTTGTTTCATAGTAAATTGTTAAGACACTTTTATTTTTTTCAGAAACGTTTCAAGTTTCCAACAGCCATCTCAGCAACAACCAAAAATTTTAGGAAGTATAACACTGGGTGATTTAGATCCTGCGCAAATTGCTCAATTTCAGGTAATGAAACAGAATCAATACTCAATTTATTTATTTATTAGAGTCTACTCTGACATTTCCGTAGTTCTCAATTGAATTTTTCAATTCACAGAAAATATTACATGATTGTTTTATTTGAAATTTGGTAGTCTGCTGCGTTAATTATCATATGATTCTTCAAGTTTCAACCATCATCCTTAAAATAATTAAGCTTTTCGAATAAATGTAAGTAAGATATGTTTTTAGCTCCCAGTTTATTATACTTTTTTGGATTTAATGAAAAAAAATTATAAAGTGGAACTAACTTATTAAACTTTAAGATGAATGTAAATAGATAGTTTCAGCAAGCATTTGCGGAAGCAAGTAAGGGATTGGCATCGTCTGTTGTGTTTAATGTACCAATGCAAAAAATAAATGCGGAAGAGGAATTCACGGATGAGGATAAAAATAGGTAGTTTCTTTCTTCTTTAATTAAGAAGAGCGATACAACGTAAAGAGTACTTTACTTTTATCAATTCGTTTGTCGAAAGATGAGGTCTATATTTTTTGCATTTAGTTTATGCATTATGCGAACATAATCTGTCAAATTTTTTTTGTAGATGTGCTCTTCTTGAAGAACTCATTACCGGACGTCGGCCCTTAGTTATGCGTCCGTATGTATTTCTTCTAAATAGGCGTTTTAAATGGACTGATATTGCCGTTCCTGTAACTGCTACTGATAGGTTTATTTTGATTTTTTGGACAGTGCTTCTTTAAATCGAGGTTTTTGAAAAAATCGATGTTTTATATGAAATAACTTTTCTGGTTTTGGAAGAAATTTTTTTGTTGTTGGTAGATTTCGCATTTATCGGCTGAACCAAGCTCGTAATTCGCGATGTTATTACCGGTGTTCTGGTTGTGAGACAATGGCCAAAGGATCTGGAGACCCTATTGCACAAATAAAACTTGCCGAGGGTTATTTGATTCAACTTTTAATTTATGGACTTGTTTCAGCTAATCATTAACTGATTATTAAGTTATAACACTTAATGGTATTTTGCAGAATGGAAAAAAATATTTGAAAAATGACAGTTTCGCTTTGTTTTATTATGCGACCGAAACGTGTAGAATTTATTTTCTGCAAATTCAGTTATTATTAGTCCACCTATTGACCAATCTGTTTCATTGAATATTGATTTTTGTCATGTAAGTAGTTTTTTCAGGTCATTTAGCTGGTGATGTTCATCCCGTACATAATTCAAAGTGTGAATGGTTTACGTTTTCCACTATTGTTAACAGACAGTTCGACAGAGAAGCTCGTCTTGAAGTTTATAATGGTATTATGACTCCAAAACAAGCATGGAATAGGGTAAATAAATTATAACTATTTTATTTTCCGTTCCAGACAGTATAATTACAATCATTATCTTAAAAATAATATCTGGTTCTGTTTATTGTTGAACACTTCTTTAGCATTCAAATAAATTCTAAAGCTATGGAAACACTGATGAGATATATATACTGTTTATTTAAAGCATTTGCTCAAAAAACATGTTTGATATTGGTTAATTTCGATTACTTGTGTTATTTATTCCATTCATTCATCTAGAGCGCTGATAAATTTCCAGGGACGTTTGAGAGCTTTGAGGGCTGTAAGCTTGGCTCCCGAAGGCTTGGTGAATGCCGATGAATATCCTAGTTGGGATACAATGTACAGGATAATCATGAAGCTGTGGCGAAACGCCGTTAGTTTTCCATCATGATTTTATCTTACCGATTTTTTTTTTTTGCATTTTATTATACTTCTTATTCTCCATTCGATATTAGGCAATATATTCTAATATTTTTAAAGAAGCGAGCTCATGAGGCTGGACTTGAGGTTGCTGATCGAGTTGGTATCAGGGATTGGTGGCGTAAGATTCCTCCACCGGTAGCAAAACGGAAAATCAAGAAACTGCAAAATTATGATGATATACATGCTTTATATCAAGTAGATGTTCTTGAAGAAAGGTTCATTTCAAGTCATGGAGCTTTCAAATTTCATCCATTTTTTAATCATTGGGGCTTAAATAATAGTCTTTTTGAGTTTTATTTCACTAGTGTTTTTCCCGGTTTTCTTTTTTTCCCAATTTTTTAGTAGGATTTTTTTTTCCCGAATTCTTCAGATTTCCGGTATTAATGTTTTCCCTATATAGTCAGTTAAAGCTTTTGTGGCATATGCGGTTACTTTTTATAAGAATTTTAGTCGGCATAACCTTTCTTAGTTATTCTTCTCGATTTTTCTGTTCTTGTTGAGAATAAGAGAGTTTTCCAGCGAAGTGTTTTTTTCTTCGCTCAACTATAAGCTGATTTCCGCAGTTGCTTCGGTTACTTAGAAGTTCAAATATTTCGAATATTTAGTCGGTTTCGTACCATTCACTAGTATGAAGTTAAGGTAGTTATTAATCTTTATTGTCATAATTTTGTGCAGTTAAACAGTTTTCAGTGATGCAGTAGAGGAAATGAACGACGCAGAGAATCAGTCCTGGTAAGATATTTTATTATTGTCAGTATAATGGCTGAAATATATTGAGGTAATGTGGTTTTGTATTAACCTATATATCTGGTATGCTTCTGTCAGTATGGTCAATGTTAAGTAGCATACATACTTGTTATGAAATAAGGGCAGCATTTGTACGGTTCTGTTTAAACTTTTTGTTCATTGTATAACCTCGATGAGAAATAATCAGTTTCAGAGAAAAAATTATTTCAGTATTTCAATGGCTAATAGTGATGAAAATGAATCAGTTGATTTGTTGGATGTCGTTAGTGAAAGTGAAATTTATTCTGCAGCCGATCAAGAACCATCTATTCAACGAAAAAAATTTGCTTTGCAGTCTTTTAGCAGAAATAGTGCACCAGAACCACCGGAGCGAATTTCATTATTCTCCAATGCATCAGTTCGCAAATTTTTGTGATTGAATATTGTTTAGGAAAAAGAAACACTAAATAATTTCACAGAAAAATGTCTTGATAATTCTGTCAGAAACATTTTGAATCAAAATGAATTATAAGACATTATGGGGCTTTAAAATTAAATCAAGTTTTTTAGGATTCAGGTAAACAGATCTCGCAGGATAGTCATTCAAGTGTAACTGCATCTAATGATATAAATAATAAAATAATAGACCTTTTCGAGAATGACAGTGAAGAAAATGGCGATTTGCAATATTATGTTCTACAAGAATATGATGACGATGATTATGATAATGAAGATGACGAAAATGATAATGATGACGATGAAGAAGAAGAAGAAGATGATGATGATAATAATGATGATGATGATGATGATTATGATGACGATGATTATGATGACGATGATGAAAACAATGGAAGTGAAGATAGAGAAGCTAGTGACGAAAGCGACAATGATAGAGATATAAATGTTGACAGCATTGACCAATTTAATGTTGACATTGATAATGAAGTGATGCGGGAATATAATGATATTTTAGCCGAAGTGGATCGACTTGAACAAAGTTTGTCATTTTCATGGTGTTAGAAAGCATCTCATGTTATATGAGGTATATTATTATAAGTTATAATGTTAGTATATTAATCAAATCAATAAAGTTTAGAAGCGATTGCTGCAACAGAAGGAAGAAGAAAATTTCGAAGAACAAATGGTCATGTAATCACGAAGCCACAAAGTAGTCAATCACATGGACTGAATCCAAGTGTTGAAAATACACCACTAGAGGACCATACTTTCAATCTTTCGGAGCAAACCGGCAGCACTTTCTGTGCAAATCGTAAGTTGTTCGCTGCAATTGAAAGTTTGACACGCACATTAACGGTAGATCATTCGCGACAGTTCCACCAGGAAATGCTCAAAACCGCTGTTGAATTGTCAAACCATTATGCTATATTGCAAAGGCGACACTATACTGCAGCTACGGCATCACAACGAACTAATGCGAATCCTGAACGCTCTAGCAAACGTATACAGAATTTGAAGTCTCATGAGTGCGATGTCCAGGAAAAATACGATGACAGCGTGATAAGACGGCGAAAAGCATCTGTGACATCTCCACAAGCACGTTCCTCAAGAAAAAAGCCTAAATTTACGTAAAAGCGAGGGTAGATTGGTTTACTAGCTTAGTGCCTGTGATTTTGCCACTGTTTTAAGTATTATTCAAAAAAAAGCTGCTGTTCAAATTTTGCTTTGATAGATTCGTTATCTTTGTTGGTTGAACAAAAGTATTTCTTGTTTCCATTGCTGAAATAGTTTTTTCTTTTAAAATACTCAGAGCTTGAGCATCTTTTTTATCAAGGCATAAACATCTTAATTATATATAGCTTTAGAGTTGCGTGAAATGTAATAAATCTTGACTCTTTAAACTTAAAGTTTTTTGGAATACGATTCCAAGGTACTTCAAACATGCAGTATCTCTTCATTCCTTATTTTCACTGTTTTTGAATGTACAATTTTTAATATTTGCAAATTTGGCATTTTCTTCTCAGCTTTGCTGAATATTTGTTTGCGATATGTTTACATACATTTATGTTCTGTGAACAGATAAATTTTTCATGCATTACACTAGAATACACCCCAGTTTATGTGAGTTTTGAACACCTTAGTGATAGTGATTGAAAGCTGTGGCTGTGAGATTGATAAGTTGTTGATTGTTGAAATTGATATTCTTTTCTCTGCTTCAAAGAGAGTAAATCAAAGTATACAAATTTCTAAATTTTTGATTTTCGTATGCATTGACGTGTTATGGAAAATGTATTTTATTATAATTGGACTTACCAGAAGTTGAAAAAGATTTTAAAGTAGCAACAAGTTACTGAATCTAATGTAACAGGACATTCAACTTTGAAGGAAATTGTCTTCCAGTTAAAGCAATTCACAAAGTGTAATTAAAAGTTCTGAAGTAATGCATAGCGTTTTTAACAATTTAATCTCTTCATTTATATATGGAACGGTCTGGAAAACAAAAACATCCTCGGAAACAAATTCTGGAAGTTATGGATGCGAACTTTCATTTATTTCATTTCACGCTATCACTGGTAACACGAGCGTTGTCACGCTACTGATTGCTGCCGAGAAGAAACTTCATTCTACACTTGATATATTGACATTGGACGCAACACGTTTTCGCGATCGAGTGAATTTAATATCCATTTTCAAAACTTTTCTATGATTTAAAGCTTTTCAACAAATAATCCGATATTGAATTGAACTATTAACACACTTGAAACATCCGTACCAGTGATAACATATTTTATCAGAATTTTCCATTTATGAGTTGGTTTTCAAAGCCAAGCACTATGAAAGCATT